AAATACTGTATATGTTTATCAAATAAAGTCTAATGTTACAACTAATCGGGGATCCCTTTAAAAAATTGAGTCTGTGTTGAACAGTGTCTCCAAAAAGTGGTAAATAGTCCTGCTTCTGTTCCAGGCCCAGAGAARGTCTCAGATCTGCTGCTACTGGAGGAGTGCCAGCAGCTAAGTGGTTACAACCAGCTTCTCATTCCTTAAACCAACCAAGGGATCCTGTGTCCACACCAGCCCAGGAACCTGRAGCCAACACTGTCCACCTAACCCCMCGGACACCGCTGACAGGACAGTCCACAGGCTCCGTCACCCTCCTCCCCGCACAGTGTTCCTCCCTGATCCCCGTGCTGCTGCCCCAGCAGCGGGGKGGCGGACCCTACGCGGTGTACGTGCACCCTTCGTCCCTCAGGTCGAACCCTCTGTCCAGGCCGCTGCCATCGAGCCTCGCCGTGCGCTCCATGACATTTGAGGACAAGATGGGGCAGAGTCCCTCTGCAGCTCAAAGCCAGCCGGTCTCCACTGACGACAGTCCTTGTCTGTTTAAACGCCAACGCTCGGATTCTGCTTCAGAGAGCAGCCCCTCCAAAGCCAAGAAGTCGGACCCTAGCTTTAAGGTAAAAAAAACCCTTCAAACAAACRAACAAAAATAATAACAGGGTGATATATCGGCATTAATATCTGTATAGGTCTGATATGTAAAACTGGGCTGATATTAACGTCCAATATTGATTTCCCACTTTTTATCTTTGTGCTTCTGTTTTGGTAGGGGAGATGGTTGGTTGAGCAGCATCTGTTTGATCATGATAGTTATATTGATGCTGCACAGCCAGGAATAACTGAAGTAGGGAGCCATGTCAGAGTTCTGGATGTTTATTTACGAGATAAAAAAGACTCAAGTGTGTTTGTGTAATAACAGTAAATATCGGTTATCGGCCATAACAGCAATAATTATATTGGATATCGATATCGGCTGAAATTTTCATATCCCTAAAAAATAACTGTTAGTAAAATTGTGGTGTGTTGATTTATTTTAGCCAAAATTTGCTGAAGAAGCAGAGTACTAGCTACAAAAAGCTAAATGAACCAAAATGCTAGCCAGAAATAGCATACACATTATTTAAAACCCAAAACAAGAAAACTACAACTTAAAATGTGTAGAAGTAGCTAAAATATTACAAAATACTGGTCAGTAGTAGCAAATCTCTTAAATGGCAAAAGCAGCTGAAAGCTAGCTAAAAGTAGAAAAACACTGGCTAAGAGAAGCAGAACAGCAGCTAAAGTGACCTAAGAAGATAAAAATTAGGCAAGTTTGCTGAATTTCTAGAACAAAGGTTTTAAAGACGTTAAAGAGATATCTGTATTTTCAGTGCTTCACGGCATACAGTCATTTTAATTTAAATAATACCAGATCACACTGACAGCTATTTCTGCGAACCCGCTTTCACATCCACCTCCTATGAAACGCCAAAATAAAAAAATAGGGATGAAAATGTGGATCATATACTGTGACATACACAGTCACGTGTGTTTTTAGTGGAGGAG